AATTCCCTACGATTTGTATTGGCCAGTTAGTTTTCCATCCTCAACAAAGACATAGGTTGGTTTGGTTTGCAGGTGCTATCAGTGCTATCCAAAGCCCTAGTACTGGCTTGAAGCTCTACATTTTTGAAAACCAACCCATTTAGGGTTTCAGAAGCAATGTTGAATGCTGTCTGTCAGTCATGACTCTTTCTTTGAAACCTAGTTCTGTGAAATAAATTTTATAATACTAGTTTTTTATTCGGTAGGTTATCTGCAAATATCAGAGCTACCAGCATCTGATTTTAGTAGCTACTACCACTGTTTTGTGTTATAGCTGCCAGTTCTTTTTCTGAACGTATTTGATTCAAATTGCATCCAGAGGGGGAAAAAAAAAAAGTCATTGTCCAGAGCATTACTTATGATTTTTCCTTTAATATAGCTTATAATTGTGAAGTGATAGAACACCATTTGTATTTTACAAGATGCTCTGTAGTCAGTTATCAGAACTTTTTTATCCATTCAGTTGTCACTATTTTTCTTTGTCAGAGATGGATCATTGCTAGGTAACTGGTCACTTCTCTAATAAGCTTTCTCAGATAATGCCAAATATATCTTTAATTGAAAACATTTATTTCAGAATCTCTTGCTAGCATCCCATTATTTACCAATTATTAAGGCTGGAGGGGTTGATTTAGTATTAGCATGACTGTTGTTTATCTTGATGTTACTCTGCTCTTTGTTTCAAATATTAAGAATGTTTTTAAGGCTTCAGTCAACATCCAGCTGTTTAGATGAGTGTCTTCCTATAAAGTCTCTAAGTTCATATTTGAAGATAAGTAAACTGAACACTCTCTTACTGGAAAATATCAAGCATTTCCAGTGACAGAATATGCGTGAAGTTGTCTTCTCACTTGAGAGGTGTGAGGCAATTTAAGTAGGACAATGTAAATAGATTGCTTCCCCCACCTTGTACAATTATGTGTGGCCTTCGCTGTAGCTGTATTTTTCAAGAACACATATAGGAGCAGTGTCTGCCAGCCCACTGCACCATGACAGCAAAGAACCACTTATGTACAGTTCCTTGTGGAATTTCTAAAAATGCATCTGAGTCTGGGATCCCACTGTCAAAATTCCTGTGCTATGCCAGCTTTAGCCCTTAGGAGCCCTTTCTCACTTTTTTCCCCACTGTGAAATAGGCTGTTAATGTACCTGGAAAGGTCTCTGTTGAGACTTTGCAACTATCTTGAGGAGGTAAGTGTGGAAGTGGAATATTGCTTGTTGAATAAAGAATGTTCATTCTGTGTATCCCCTAAGAATTTTTTCAATTTCATTTGAGATTATACTTGCAATAAAAATTGGTTTTGAGTTTTTAAAGTGTTAATATATACATTTGAAATTCTACAATTAAATTTTTTTTCTAAGACGTGGCAGTGTTTAAATATCTGGAGATTCTTTTTGTTATTTGAGATGTGATTGCTTCTCTGTGGGGAAGAAGGTGAGAAAGCTTTATCCCCAAATGTTCTCCTTTTGGCCAAGTCCTTTGTCTTAAAGTAAAGAAGGCTATCAAATATGATGTGGGAAATATTCAAAACAGTTTCTTTTTAAAGCTGTGGTGTTGTATGAAGTGAAAATCCACTTAGAAAGAAAGAAAATAGCCAGTAAAGGCAGGATTCCCAATCAAAGTCTTGGTTTCAAACTATAAGTAATAAATCTTTGTAATGAAATTGAAGAAGAAGCAATGATTGAATCAAAGGATAGTTTAAAACATGTCCTTGTACTCATAGGAATTATAAAGCATTATAAAACCATTTTGGTAGTTGAAGCTGTAGTACATTTAAAAGGCGGTCTGCAGCAAATTAATTCAATAGTACGTTATCTTTCCTCTGAGCAAAAAAAAACCTCACGTTAGAATATGTGGAACTGGTCTTTCAACTATTTTGCCTCTTCCCATTGCCTTTCCTGTCTTTCACTCATTATTTTAGTATGACTTACTTTGAATTTAACAGTTCCCAAGATCCATCTGCGGCTTCTTTATATAACTTAACTGGAATATTTGAAGCTGGAGTTCCTCGGAGTGAATCCAGAAC